ATTTCGAATTTATAGAAAAGAAATAGAAGAAAAGAGGTTATATACATCTATTACTACATCTAGCATAGCTAGGGACTAATACTAGAATATGTTTTAGTAAATACTATTAAACTATTAATTTAATCCTTATTATACTCTAGTTTTTTCAAGTAATTATTATAAATAAATAACTAGAACAGTCTTTTTATTCTATACAGTATTAGTACAAAATTCTATCCCTCTAAGCATGGGTCTACCCCGCTATCCTAATTCTTATAGATTATTCTCTTCTTTACTACTAAATAACTCTATTAAAATAAGATCTTTTTACACTGAAACTTCGCGTAATTAAATTCTATGTACTAAATTATTAGAAGTATAACGTATATATATCTTAGCCTGAGCGGAGGCTGGATACAGAACGATAGAAATCGCAGCGCGTTTAAGCTGCTTATAACGCGCAGTATCTAACGTTATCTACTAATAGGTAACTAAAGGCACCTATATAAAGCGCGATTGTATATTCTACCGAGCTAAATTAACTAGTAGAGATTATCGTTAGTTGCTTTAAGTTATTAAATAAGATTCTAGAATTGAACATAGCACTCTATATCGCAAGACTAATCTATAGAATAGTAATATTAGCTGCTCTACTATCTCCTAAGCTATAATTTAATAATCACTTACTTAGATAGATTACTATTACTTTAGAGTAAAGCGTAGACTATTTTTTTTACTAAAATCGTAGCTAAAAAAACGTCTAATTTTTAAGCAGTATTAGCGTAACTTTACAAATAGTAGATAGACAATTTTAAAGTTTTTAGATAATTATTCAGAGGGGTGACATAAATAAAACGTAATAGAAAAAGTTACAGTTTTTAAACGATTATAACTTTAGATCTAGACTTACTAAGACTTAACGAGTTGGTGCTCTGAAAAGCTACAATGTATAAGATTTAGTAAAACAACAAGCTTTTTACTTAGTTAGTAATTTAATGATATTATTCAAAGTTAAACTTAGAGTATTAAGAAACGCTAACTAAAACTTAAGTTTACTTAATAGTAGACGTATAAAGTCGGCTATAAGCTATATATAACTTAATGTTTTTATAAGTATATAATATTCAAGTTAATAAGATATACTTTCTTACTAAAATCTTCTAATAAATAGAGATTAAGAGTTTTTTTTTTAGATACAGTGGGGTAGTAAAAAAAAAAGAACTCTAAAAAGTTGGGATTTTTGAACATCCATTGCACAATGGGTTTTAGCGCTAAACTAACAAAAAATATATCGTTGAATAGGAAATTTCTTGGCGTTTAAGATGGCGGTCTAGTAATAATGTTTAGTTAGTACTAGGGAGGCTATTAATCCTCTTAAACCTAGATTAAAAAAATCTTACATCTTTAGCTCCAAATTTCGCGCTATAAACTTTAACTTTTCTTCTATCTATTAATATTAATAGATATATTTAATATCTTAGTTTTATATATATAGTACTAGAAAGTGTGTGATTACAATAAAGATAGATAGTAGAGGTTATGTAATTATTAGATAAAGAAAGAATAGTATTAGCTATATATTAACTAGTACTTAGTATACTACCCCTTAGCTTCTACTACTCTAGAATAGCGTCTTAGTAAAGATAGAATATAGTTTTCTATATCCTTTTGTGGTATTTTTGCTTACTGTTCCCGAATAGCAGAAATAAAAGTATTAATACTCTTATCTGTTACTCCAACGCTAAGAGAAGTACTAGGTAGCTTAGTAAGCCTATCCTTTAATAAGCTCTATACGTTTTCTATAGGATTTAAATTATGACTATAAGGTGGATGTGGAAATAGCTTAATGTAGTTTCGTCTAAACTAGCTTAAAACGATTCTAGCCTTATAGATCTTAGCATTATCCTGCTGAAAACTCTAACATAGAGTTATTGATTAGTTTAATATATATAGTTATATAAATATTTATATATATATAGAGAAATATAGAAATATAAGTAAAAATTAGTATATATTACTTACCTCTTTTAATCTAAGGTTTAACGTGAGGTATTAGGCACTTTCGAATATAGTAGGAATTCTGATGGTTAATAGTTGATTTTAGCGGTTTAATAACTACTATATCGGATTCTTCTTCTACCTAAATAGTAGCCTAAACTTAGATAGTAATATCGCGATCTATATCTTTATTAGTAATTAAGCTACTATAATAAGAATATACTATCTTAAACATAGATAATATAGGTAAGTATTAGAAAATATAAATATTAAGCTAAACGTACTTTTATTCTTAGTAGAAATAAGCTTTTAGCCTAACTGCTAATTTCTACGTTTTCTTATATATTATAATTAAGATCTATACCTACGTTTAATTCTATACTTATCTAAGAATATAATCTTTCTAAAATTAATACTAGAAAGCTCTTTTAGTAAGTTCTTAGTATAAGCTAGTCTCTTTTTAGCTCTAGAGGCGCTTAAAATCTATTTTTTAGAATAGATATCTATAGTCTAACCTTAATCCTTAAGAGCTCTTTAAGGCGTTCTAGAAGAAATATCTAAACTATTTTCTCTTATTAAATGCATCTTTTACTTCTTAAGACTTCTAATAATATCTCTATTAATAGCTCTTAAGGCTCTAGAAGACACTTTAGAAACTCTGCCTCTACTAGCTCTTTCTTTATTAAAATAACTTACCTTCCTTTTTTTAATTTAGTATTTAGCGTTATAAATAGCACGGGGGCTTTTATTAACGTATTTAATAATATTCATTAGTAGTATATTTGCCTCTAGTAACCTATTAAGTTATGATTCGAAATTTAATAATTTTGCGTATGTAATAGGCTGCGCTAGTAAAGTGAAAGCACGTGATTATATTACGTGCCTATAGCACGTGCCTATATTACACCGCTTAGTTAGAACTTACTCGTACGAAGAGTAGAGAAGTAAGATATAAAGAGAGAGGTGTTGTATGATAGCTTAGCTCTTCTTATTTTTCTTCTTCTATACTATAGGCTAACGTAAACTTATTTAAAGGCCTCTTCGCCTATAATCTAAGAAGAAAGATTACTACTCTTATCTCTTCTTCGTACGAGAATAATAAATTAAGAACGTTCTCTGTATATATAGTAAGCGCGCCTAAGAGTAAGTTATAATAAAATAATAAACTCTAAGTAGTTCTTACGAAATAATGTGCTAGATAGCTAAAATTACTAAATATAACTTTCGTACGAGAATTTTCTTGCTAGTAATAAGTAACTTTAGTAAAGCCTTAACTACGTAATAATAGAGCTTTAATAGGCTTAGAATATATTCTAAGAATTTAAATAGATAAAAAACTTTCTCTATACGATTTAGGGCTAGCTTTTTATTAGTAACGTATAGACGCCTATAACTACTCTAAGTGGGGATAGTTAGCTATCTACCTATAATCTAACGCTTACCGCTAGATCTGCCGTATAAAGGTTTAAAAAAGTAAGACTCCTAGATATAGAAGTCTTTAATAAGAGAATATACGAAGAATACTTTTAATAGAAAACCTGCGTATAGGTAAAGCTCTTTACTAACTACTTTACGTACTCTATAGAGAAATACTAAGTGTACTATATAATTACTTATATAAAAGGATAGGCCTTTACTACTCTTTAAGCTTACGTTATAGTAGTAATAGATAAATAAAAAGAACTATTACTAAAAAAGCTTTAGGCTTAACTAGATAGATTCTTCTAAGACTTAACGATTAAGTAAAAAGCTCTATAATACTTTTATACGATAAAGTAAGGTAAAGAAGAGTTTCTCTCTTACGTATAAGTATTTAACTTAAAGTTCTATAAAGTGGGACTAGGCTCTCTTAATGATGCGCTTAAAATTAACTACCTAAAGAACTTACTAAATAGAAAGCTACTCTACTATTAAGCTAGCTATTAACCTCTAGCTAGTAAGACGTATAAGTACTTTATAAATAGAATGCGCGTTACTTAAGAAAACTTAAAAGTAGTAGACTAGCTTTTATGTAACGTAATAGTCTACTCTAAACTTTTCTTTATAACTAATAATACAATAGATTAGACTCTAACTATAAGCGCTATGCGCCCTTAAATAAGGAATAAATATTAGAGTATGAAAACTTAAATCGTATAATAAAAGAAAGAAGGTAGCTATCTTTACTATAGACTTTAAGGCTATCTTATATAATACTATAAAGCTATAGTACTTAAATATATAAGAAACCTTATACTTACTATAAAGATAATAGTAGCTACTATAGAAAGTAATAGCTCTAATAAGAGAAAAGAAGAGCTCTAGCCTAAAAACGCTACTTAGAGCTATAGAAGTAAGTTAAGAAGGTTATATAACTAATTTATAGTCTCTTATAATAACTAGAAGCTACTTCGTCTATATCTATAGATATACTTATTAATAGTATTAGAAATACTACTACTATAATTAATAATAGGTATTATACGTACTCTATAGTTAATAAGATAATTATCTAATAACTTAACTTACTACGCGTGTTAATAAGATCTTGCGTAGTTATTGGTATAAATAACTAAAAGAGCTTTGTATAAGCTATTACTAAGTTTATAGTTAATATAGAAGGAGTTAAATAATAAGTAGCCGCTTATATTATTCTATTTACGTACGAGTACGATATAATTGTTAGAAAGACTTAGCTTAAAGACGTAGGCGGCGTAATTAATGCTCTATAATGACGCTTACGCTTCTACTACTATAGAATCTTAGTTCTAAGTACTAAGTTCTCTATATAGGAAACGAACCCTCTTATAGTCTCTGCGGCCGCTTTTAGGTACTACGTATAATAAAGTAAGAAATAGCTAGCTATATAAGTACTTGCTATAAGCCTTTAAGATATTAAAAAAGCTTTATATCTAAAGACGCTTCTTATAAAAGAAGAGGTAAGATAGTAACTCTCTACCTATTTATAGCTATACGTAGAGCTATTTACGCTAAAAGAAGAGAAGAAGTTATCTTCTCTAAGAGGCCTAAAGGTAAACTACTAGATTAAACTTATACCTAATAAGAATAGGAAAATACTAGAAGTTCTATATAGGCTACTCTATAGTATACTAAGAGATAAACTTTTTATACTAAGAAAGACGTTATATAAACTACTTAAGAAGGGGTTTTTTTATATAAGTAACTCTTCTATAGTCTTATCTATACTATTTATATAAAAATCTAGAGAAGAGCTATAATTCTATATTAACTATCGCGCTCTAAACGCGATAAGCTAAAAAAACTACTACTCTCTTCCGCTTATCCGCGAAACGCTAAACTAAATTCGATAAGTAAAGTAGTATACAAAGCTTAATATTATAATAGCCTTCTACTATATCTATATTATAGAAGAATAAGAATAAATAACTATCTTCTAAACGCGCTTTAGATTATATAAGTAGCTAGTAACTCTCTTTAGACTTATAAACGCACTAAGTACGTTCTAAAGATACGTTAACTAAATACTATAGAACTTTCTAGACGACTTTACCTCTACCTACTTAGATAATATTCTTATCTATATAGATAGCTTATAGAAATAATACTATAAATATATATAATATATTATAAAGCGTCTTTAAGCTATAGTGCTATAGCTAGAGCTAAGAAAGTGTAAATCTAATATGTAACGTACAAAATATCTTAGGTTTATTTTCTAAGTAGAGAAGAGCGTATCTATAGATCTAGATAAGATAAAAGTAATTTAAGAATAGAAAGCGCTAGTTATTATATAAGAATTGCGAGAATTTCTAGGCTTTACTAACTTCTATTATAGGTTTATCTCTAACTATTCTAAGCTTACTAAACCTTTTATACGCCTAACTAAGAAGGATAAGAAGTTTAAATAGAGACCTAAGTGAGAATTAAGCTTTACTACTCTAAAGAAAGTATTTCTCTTAGAAGAAGTTCTAGTTATATTTAACTCTAACTATTATACGATCGTAGAATACAACTTCTCTAGATAAGCTCTTAAAGTAGTACTACTCTAGAATGATAAGAATAAAGCTTTACGTACGGTTACTTATCTATTATAAAAACTACTAGTATCTAAAGTAAACTATCTAATCTATAATAAGAAACTTCTAGTAGTTATTATCTACTTAAAAAATAGAATATAGAACTCTATAGCGTATAAGAGTTTAAAGTTATTACTAACTATAAGAACTTAGAATTCTTTACGAAAAAGTAGAAACTCTTAGAATATTACGTATAATAGTCTCTTAAACTAGCTTACTTCTTAAATATAAGATTTTAATATTAACCTAGTAAAGATAACGTACGAGTAGACGCCTTATCGCGACGAGACTAAGGTATACCTAAGAATGTCTTTAATAACTACTACGCCTTAAAAGAATTTACTATACTAGTACTAGCGTATACTCTAGACTTAATCTTTCTACTATCTATACGGCCTATAGAAACCTCCCTAGTATTACCTATACTCTTATAACTACTAGACCTCTTAGAACTAATCTAGTTATTATAGGACCACTCTATATAAGAAGACTTATTCTACTAAGAAATAAGGCTAGCTATATAAGAGAAAAAGCGCTCGCTTCTAAGCTTAAGCAGAGTTATAGTCTTCTTAGGCGATTATATAATTAATAATTAAGATTAACTCTATTAGTATAGTAGAGTATAGGTACCTAACTACGAACTACTTTATATAGGAGTTATCTAGATAGCCTACTTTTCTCTATTATTAGGATAACTAGAATAAGAAGAAACCTTTTAAATTATTATACGTAAATAGTACTAGCTAAACTTAGGTTATAATATCTACTACTTTATATAAAATTATAAGTTATATTATGAAAGTATACTTTAGTAAGATAAGAAATATAGATACTTATAACTATTACCTATACCTAGTTATACGTAGTAGTATCTTACTATAGACTTTATTATAGAGCTACTACTATCTAAAGAGAAGACTAATCTAATAGTAGTAAAGAACTAGCTAGATAAGAGCGCTATACTAATCTCTATAGATAAAATTAATATAAAAGATATAGCTTAGGCGTTTATATAAGAAGTCTACTAGTACTATAGTTTATTATAGTTAATTACGTCTAATAGAGGCTCTTAATTTATAAGCTCTCTCTAGAAGTAGATCTACTAACTATTAGATATTTAGCGTAACCTCTCTATAGTATACTACTTATAAATAGATATAATAACTAAACGCTTAAATAGTAATATTAAAGCTATTATATAAATCTTCTATAACTATAATTAAGATAACTAGTTATAGCTTTACTCCCTTCTAGAACTTATACTTAATTTACGTACAAACGCGTTAGTAAGAGTCTCTCTCTTCTTTCTCTACTATAGCTACTATAATACTCTCTTTTTATAAGAATAAGTTATTACGTAGATTACTAACGTAACTAAAGCTATAAAAGAAATAGTCTATATAATTAATAATACCTTAACCTAAGCTATATCTACTATAACATACACTTAATAAGAATAAGAATAATAGGTAAATAAGTCTTATAAGCTAGCTCTAACGTACTAGATAAAAGACTAGGTATAGCTAGATCTACGTAACGTACGAACTATAAGAACTAGTAAGAAACTTAATTAGAAAAATAAAAAATTCCAGGTATTACGCGTACAAGACCCCTACTAGATAGAACTAGCCGTACTTTAAAAAACTAAGATATACTACGTAGATAAAATCCGCCTAGCTACTAACGACTCTCTACTATTCTAGTAGATAAATAACTCTAATCTAGCAGCTATTATTATATAAGATAAGAATAAAGAAGAGTACTTTAAGTAAACTATATAAGATATTACGAATAAGAGAAGATAATAAAAGAGAATAAAATACCTTATTTATTAAGTAGGCTATTAAATACCTATATAGGAGCCTACTACTTACCTTACGGACACTTTAGCCCTCTAATATTAGCTAACTTATACCTAGCCTATATAATAACCTAATAGCTAGCTTAAAAAGAACTAGTATAAGAAGCTATAGCTACTTAAAAAGTAGTAAGTTAGAAGGTTCCCTTAGAGCTAGTCGCTTACGTGAGCTACTACTGTCTAAACTACTAAATACGCGCTTAGAGAAAGCTATTATATAATCTCTAGAACTATATAGAACGTTATAATAAGCGCTATAATTCTACTAGATATAGTTAAAATAAGCTTCTCTTTACTTACTTAGAATTAATATATAGCCCGTAAACGCCGTAAACTTCTTCTCGCTCTTAAAAATAGTAGCGTAGTTATTTATATAGAACTACGCGTTAAGGTTACTATAAGTATAGACGACGAAAGCCTTAAAATATAATAGATAACTAGTAAAGATCTAGTAAGTAGTAATTATCATATGAGCTATAATAAATAAGTAATTACGTAAACTAGTACTAAACATAGTATTATAAGAGCTGTTACTATAGAAGTAATAAAAGAAGTTAAAAATACGCTAAATATTCTTCTAAACCTAATTAACCTATAAGCTATATAGAAAGAGAAGAAAGAGACTTATAGAAGCGGTAGCGAAAATATAACAAAGCTTATTAGTAATAGCTACGTTAAAGATATACTAGATACAATACTTATTAATATTAATTATACTAGTAATATTAATAGCTAGCTAAATCGTACTAAAAGTCGTACGAGTAAGAGCACAATCTATAGTAGTAAAGATCTAAGCTACTACGGCCGTAATAGTATTATTAAAAGCACTATTAGAGTAGAACTACAGAGCGTTTACACTACCTATAGTCTACTATCTACGTTCTCTAGGCTACGCTTTTAGAGGTATTATACGAAGAAGAAGAAAAGAAAAGAAAAGAAGAGTAAGAAATCTAAGTTAGAAGAGAGAGCGGATTACGAATAAGAAATAAGTACTAACTAACACGGAGGTACTAATACTTGTAATGGGGCGTAACCCCGTTAGGTTCTTAAGCACTAGAGCATAATTAGACAGGCTAAGATAACAAGATTGTATTTGATAGAGAGCTAAGCTCTTAGCTACGTAGCTATCTATATATAATACTAGTTGCTAGAGTAATAATCGGGCTAGGTAGGTAGAGTAGACGAGGTCGTAGACGAGTATAAGAGGTAAAGGGCGTTCAGCCTATTATAATACCCCCCTCCTTAAGAAATAACCCCCTCTTTCTTCGATCTGAAGAGGGTATCCATCGTAGCGCTTTATACGGTAGTCTTAGTTCCTAGCTAGGCTAGGCTAGCTAGTCTAGATAAACGAGATTTAGAGCAGGACTCTATCTAGTAACTAGCTAATCCGCAGCAGAGATAGAGGTCGTTAAGAAGGTAATACTCTCAGTAATCTACTAAGAAGCTAAATAAGATAGAGAAGAATCGGGATCTAGAGGGCGTAAAGGTAGGTCTAGTAGCGTTAACTTAGATTAAGTTAATATCTATCCGTTAGCTGAACCAGTTTCGGTTAGGCTAGCTAGGCTAGCTAGGCTGGCTAGGCTGGCTAGAAGGGAAACGCTTTAAGCGTCTCTTAGCGCTCTATATAGTCTCTATGTATTAATTATACATAAGGCTAAAGAGAGAGTTATTTAACTCTTTAAGCTTCTACCTAAGTAACTATTAGAGACTGCGGTATAGCGTTATAACGCAGGAGATATCTAGCTAAAAGAAAGCTTTCGCTTTAAACGATAGCCGCTTAAATCGCGTAAGGTAGACGATTAGCGACTTATCGTCCTTCTAGCGGATCTAGAAGAAACGCTAGATTACCTCTTACTACTTACGTAGATTATAGCAAAGACACTAGAAGAATAAGAAAATCTATTCTAGGTTCTAATCTAAAAGCTCTTTAGACTATTCGCAGAGATAGAGGATAGACGCCTATTAAGGCTACTTAAGACAATCCTATACGTAGTTAAAGGTATTAGCTCCTATAAGCTAATTAGATTAGAGTTTAGCTCTAATAGATAGTAACTATATACGCAGCGTGTACGGCTTACTATTAAACTTAGGCGAGTCTAGCAGGCGCGCTTAGACTCGCGTCTAAGCGTCGTTTAGGTGCTAGCGGGACTAAAGCTAGAACTAGAGCTAGAGCTAGAGCTAGGCGACGCTATCGCGTAAAGAGGTAATCTCTAATCGCTAGTTCTAGAGCTCTTACTAGAGCTACTATACGAGTAGTAGAAGAGCGTTCTAGTTTTAGCTAGGGCTAGATATAGTTCTAGTAGGTAGTAGAAATTTTTCTTTAGTAAAAGCTAAACGCTTATCTAATCTCCTTTTAGCTAGCTAGTAATCAAATACAAAATATAATAGAGCGTAACTCTATTAGGTTCTTAAGCTCTAGAGCATAATTAGATAGGCTAAGGTAATAAGATTATATTCGATAGAGAGCTAAGCTCTTAGCTACGTAGCTATCTATATATAATACTAGTTGCTAGAGCAATAATTAGGCCGGGTAGGTGGAGTAGACGAGGTCGTAGACGAGTATAAGAGGTAAAGGGCGTTTAGCCCATTACAATACTTATATTATACAGAAAGTTGTTTTTACTTTACTTACTACGAGTTTATTAGTAAACGTACGTTATAGCTAGATAATAATATAACAATTTAAACTATAAGTAAATACGCGGACTGCTAAGTAGCTGTATATAGTATAGAGAGAGGGTATTATAATAGGCTACGCCTATAGAGTAAAAGTACGTAATTATATTACGTGCCCACAGCACGTGCCTATATTATACTGCTTAGTTAGAACTTACTTATATGAAGAGTAGAGAAGTAAGGTATGAAAAGAGAGGTATTATATAATAGCTTAACTCTTCTTATCTTTCTTCTTCTATACTATAGGCTAATATAAACTTATTCGAAGGCCTCTTCGCCCACAACAGCGTATATAAGAGAAAAATATAGTTCTAAGTTTCTAAGAGAGAAAAGATATTAATATATACTCTAATATTACTAATAGCTAACTAATACAGAGCTTATATAAGTAGTACCTAAAAATAACATTTATTAATTTCTATATATTAAACGTATAAAATATAATAACTAAGATACTTATATAATTACTTAGTAAGTATATTACTAATATATATAGACTAACGTTAAGGATTAGTTACTGGCTAGAATTAGTTACTAGCTACCTCTACTAAACTCAAAGCGATATAACGCGCGATAGCTTTATAATAATATTAGATAATAAAATACGATTTGAGCTAGAGCTACTCTATCTAGTTCTATATTAACTCTGAGTATGTCTTTGGACGTAACACTTCGAGCACGTTAGCGGCGCGCGCTAACGTTGCTTACTACTCTAGCTCTAGCTAGCCTCTATAACTATTCTTTCTACCTCTATAGTAAGCTACTAAGCCTACTATATCTAGAGTACTCTACTAGAAGTAATATATTACCGCCTCTAGTCTCTCTTTTATTACTAACGCTCGCTACCTTAACGTAGCTTTCTATTCTTCTTAGTAAGTATTATAGCTAACTATATTATAAGCTAGGCGCATTTAGTAAGCTAGCGTATCGCAACGCTTATTAGGCTCTCTAACTACCTAGGTAGTTACTTTTAGAGATAGTATATCTTCTGCTAAAGCTGCTCTACTATATATAGCGTCTCTATCTACTCTACTAACTACGCTACTTAGTTATTACTTATAGTTATCTATAGTAAAGATAGTATTCTAGCTACTATAAGCGATAATAGAATATAATCTAGATAAGAAGAGATAAGTTCTATCGCCTAAAAGCCTACTTAGATATTCTACTATATAAATACTACTAGCCGGATCCGCGTATAGACTATAAAGAAGTCTATCTTATTAATATAGTACACGTCTTAGTAGGTAAGCTCTTTAATCTTATATCTATACGCGCGCTTAAGCGGCGAGAAGTAGCTTATATTAAGTGGCTAGAGAAGATACGACGTATACGGCGGTATATAAAGAGTAATAATCTTATTCTTAGTGTAGTACTAATTAAACTCTAGCGTTATATAGCTACTATAGCCGTCTAGAATAAGAAAATAGTATAACTTAGCTATATAAGCTACTATATATTAATTAAAATAGTTAACCTACTTAAATCTAAGCTCGTTAGTCGTCTAGCTATTATCTAATACTATAATAGTCTAGTCTAGTAGAAGGTTATAGTACTAGCTACTTTAATAGATCTTACTAGCTAGAATTATAAATAGTAGTAGAGACTAGCCAGACGCGTTAACGCACTTAATAGCTATTACCTACTCGCAATTACCTAGCTGTACGATAACTACCTAACTAACTCTATTAGCGCTAGTAACTATCTTTAATGTACTAGTAATGCCTATTATAAATCTAGTCTTATTAAAGTTATAGATATTCTAGTCTAAGACGCTATACGTCTAGCGCGTCTCTTTTACTAGCTTAAACTAAGCTGCGATTATAATAGAATTCTTAGAGAGAGCGCGCTAGCTACTAAACTTTATATTATACTTTATCTAAAGCTCTAGCTAGTTCTAGATAAAGCGTAACACCTATTTCTTACTAATAGGCTATAGAGGTAGATCTTAGCCGCGCGTAGTAAGTAGAGCGTCTACTATTCGTCGTACGTTAATAATATAAGGTAGAAAACTACGTTAGTTAAGGTCTAAGATCTACTAAATAAGCAACTACTCCTTAATAGAAGACAACTTTCATTTCTAGGCGTTAACGGCTGCTTTAGATAGAGCACCTTAGAGGCGGCGCTAGAGTGTTGTATAAGAGATAGTATATAACGTAGTAGTACGAGTAGGTATAGAAATACGTTTTTTCTACATTAAATCTAGAGTAAGACTAAGCCTACCTTCACAAGCAGTCTATATAGAACGTTATTATCGCGGTATTATAGTAGTTGTAGAAAGAGTTATGTAAAGTTTAGTAGAGGTGGCTAGTAACTAATCCTAGCCAGTAACTAATCCTTAACGTTAACGTGCGAGATTAGTAAGCTAGAAAGATTAGTAAGCTAAACGCCCTATCTAATCTAACGCGACGCTCCGCGCAATTACTCTATAATAACGTAATTATATTAGATAGAAATAAAAGATATTATTCTTTATTTAGCTCTATATAAAGTCTAAGTATATTCTTAAACGTAGCACTTTGTGCACGTTAGCAGCGCGCGCTAGCGTCGCTTACTAGTCTAGTTCTAGTTACTCCTAATAACTACTATTTCTACCTCTATAATAATCTACTAAGCCTATTAGACCTAGAGTACCCTACTAGAAGCGATATATTAACGCTACTAGTCTTACCTTCGTTATTAGCGCTAGTTAGTTATATATAGCTTCTTATTCTTCTTAGTAAGTATTATTACTAATTATACTATAATCTAACAGCCTTTAATAACTTAGCGGAGAAGCTAGCTTATTAGGCTTTATAATTTCTAACAGAGCTAGTCTTAAAGAAGCTTTACCTACTACTATAGCTGCGCTACTATATATAGTATTTTTAGCTACGTTACGGCGTTATTATCTATAGTAGAGATAGTAGAGATAGTATATAGATAACTATAAGCGACGATAGAACGCGATCTAGATAAGAAGGGATAAGGTCTATTACTTAAAAGCCTACCTAGATATTCTACTACGTAAATACTATTAACTAGATCTATTAATAGACTATAAGAAAGTCTATCTTATTAATATAGTAGACGCCTTAATAGGTAAGCTTCTTAATTTTACATCTATACGCCCGCTTAAGCAGTAAGAAGCACTTTATATTAAGTAGCTAGAGAAAATGCGACGTATAAGGCGGTATATAGAGAGTAATAAACTTATTCTTAGCGTAGTACTAGTTAAACTCTAGCGTAGCGTAGCTACTATAGCTATCTAAGATAAGAAGCTAATAGACTTTAGCTATATAAGTCGCTGTATACTAGTTAAAGTACTTTATCTACTCAACTCTAAGCTAATTAGTTGTCTAGCCGTTATTTAAGATACTAATAACTTAGTTTAGTAGAAGTCTATTATACTAGCTGCTCTAGTAGATCTTATTAGATAGGATTACGAATAGTAGTAGATACTAGCTAGACGCGTTAACGTACTTAATTACTATAACTTACTAGCGATTACCTAGCTATATAATAACTACTTAGCCGACTCTATTAGAGCTTATAACTATCTTAGACGTGCTAGTAACGCTTATTATAAATCTAGTCTTATTAAAGTTATAGATATCTTAGTCTAGAACGCCGTATATTTAGCGTATTTCTTCTACTAGCTTAAACTAGGCTATAATTATAACTAGATTCTTATAGAAGGCGCGCTAACTATAAAATCTTCTAGTCTACTTCGTCTAAAGCTTTAGCTAGCTCTAGATAAAGCGTAATATCTACTTCTTACTAATAAGCTATAGAGGTAGATCTTAGCTACGCGTAGTAAGTAGAGCGTCTGCTATTCGTCGCACGTTAATAATATAGGGTAGACAACCGCGTTAGTTAAGGTCTAAGATCTACTATATAAGAGACTACTCTTTAATAGATAATAGCTTACAGTTAATAAAGACTATCTCTAATTATAGCTAGATACTATAGAGGCGTGTATATAGTATTAACTTTAGTATATTATACGCCTTTATAAGAGTATAAATAGACTACTTTAAATTATTATAATAAGATACTATAGTAAGACTTATTCTACCTTTATAAGTAGTCTATATAGAACGTTATTATCGCGGCATTATAGTAGTTGTGTAGAGCGTTGCGTTAGGTTAAGTAGAGCGTTCAGCTTACTAATCTTTCTAGCTTACTGATCCCGTACGTTAATATTAAAAAAGTTAAAATTTACAGCGCGAAATTTAGAGCTAAAGTTAGAAGATTTTTTTACTCTAGGTTTAAGAGGACATATAGCCTTCCTAGTGCTAACTAAGTAGTATTACTAGACCGCCATCTTAAACGCTAAGAAATATCCTATTCAACGATATATTTTGTATTAGTTTAGCGCTAATACCCATTAAGCAATGGATGTTTAAAAATCACAACTTTTTGGAGTTTCTTTTTTTTGGTCACCCCACTGTATTTATAAAACTTACATCCTTAAATCCTCTTACATTTCTATGTTAGTTTTATTCTAGTTATCTACATTTAGATTTTACTCTTATCTCTCTTTAATGATTTTTCGAGAACGATATTTTAGAACACGGAAGGCTTAGTTATTTAATTTTGTTAATCATATCTCTAAAGTATTTAAGTCTCTTTAGCTAGAATAAGCGTAGGCAAAAGACTCTATAACTTTCGGTCGTGCTCAGTACGTTTTCTGTCGCTTTTCCTTAGTATAAATCCTGAATTCTCTAATCCTTGAAGCGCGTTTTTGCATTCACCCCACCATGATTGAATACCTCCGAACCAAACTAATGGCTCACGCTTCTTACCCGGAATATTTGCCCCTACCCACCATGAATCAGTCTCAGTGGATAGTGTCGTTCCGTAATGGCTCCAGACAAGTTCCTTCCAAATCTCCCCAGCCTTCTCAGACGCTTCAATCGACTCGATGTTCTCGTTGCGAAGCTTTTCAAGAAGTTGTGTCACCCAGTCCACCTGCAACTCGATAAAGGGTGGTCCATTAGCAAGCGAACTCGGTGCCTGTGGTGCATACAGGAAGAATGCGTTTGGGAACCCGGGCACCGTCATGCCTAGATGCGTGCTGATTCCATTTTTCCATTTGTCTTGAAGTTTGACGCCGTCTTTGCTATGGATGTTCATTTTGAAAAGGCTACCCGTAAGGTTGTCGTAGCCCGTTGCTACAACTACAATATCCAATTCCGTAAGCTTACTAGTATGTTCGTTTCCTGTAACAATGCCCTCGGCGGTGAACTCTCGAATAGGTGTCTCCTTAAGGTCAATCAAGGTGACATTGGATCTGTCTACGGATTCGTAGTAGTCTTGCTCTAGACTGGGTCTCTTCGTGCCGAGCCAGTATTGCTGTTTTTTAGGGGCCAGAATCTCTCTTTTGACAGGATCCCTGATTCTTTCCCTTACCTTTTGGGCCCAAAATTTGTATGCACTGGCGTTTGCGGCCTTGTTCAGACTGATTTCGGGATAATTGGAACATAGGAAGACAAACCCGCCTCGATGCCAAAGCCATTCATAAACGCGTTGTCGCTCTTCCTCAGTCGCATTTGTCCAATCGCTTTGGTTCAAGTTGAAAGGATATCCAGCTTCCGTATTGTGTTTTGCGAAGCCAAGAATCGCGTCGTAATAACTTTTCATATGATCCGATTCATCAATAGATATAGCCTTCTGATTCATAGGAAAACACGTCGAAGGGGTACGGATGAAGACTGAAAGTTCGCAGCCCTCCTTAGCCAGTTCCTGTACAATCTGCAGTCCAGATGCTCCTTGCCCAATAACACCAATCTTCTTGCCTTGCGGGTCAAAGTCTTCGGGCCAAGAGGCCGGATGGATCAACTGGCCTTTGAAATTGGACCTTCCCGGCCAGTCCGGAATGTATGGGTCACAAGATGCTCCCACTGCAAAGACTGCGTAAGTGGATGTAGCATTTAATCCGTTGGCCCTAAAGCTCCACGTTTTTTTTCCCAGGTCGTATTTAACTTCCTCGACTCTAGTGTTGAAATAGGTATCTTTCCGAAGGTCAAGCACCTTGTCCAGGTGGTCAAAGTATTTTCGCAGCTCAACATGGTCAGGATAGCGCTCCGAGAAGTTGAAGTCTTGCCAGACTTCTGGCAGGCGCAATTGATACACTGGTGTTTCTGTGTCAACCCTCGCTCCTGGGTAGTGATTGATTCTCCAGACCCCGCCGAAGCCTGTAGAAGCCTCGAGAATTTTCACCGTGTATCCCATCAGTCGTAGTTTATGGAGTGCGTAACATCCACTGAATCCAGCCCCGACGATAATTATGTCGGCCCTGATTTCAGTGCTTGTGCCATTCAAACACGATGAAGACATTTTTGTGGACTGGTAGTTTCCAATATGAGGTTAGAAGAAGGAAGATGTGCTGCCATCCAATACAATATAAAAAGTTCATTACATATACTCAGAAATCACAGCAGTATAGCCTAAGCGGTACGCACAACTACTGTGACGCTTGGACTACCTCGGAGTGTGGATGGTTCCCGAGCCGTATTGTATTCCCCGCAGTGCGCGTATTCACGGTGTTCGCCGTATATGCCCTGTACGCCGTATATGCCGTATATGCCGTATATGCCGTATATGCCGTATATGCCGTATATGCCGTATATGCCGTATTCACCGTATACTACTCATCGGGCCTTTTTTGTCTGTCCTTCCACTGTGCTACATGGCAGAATTGATGTAGGTCATCCGAAGAAGGACCTAGTTATCATTTTAGCGTCTCTATAGTACAAAACTTGAGACATGTAGCACGGTATCTACACATTTTACTCCGGATTGTACACTATCCGCTCACCGAGTTGTACTTACCCCTCATTGAATATACTGTGGTATACCAGGCCCTAACACTTGGAACGCTCCGCCCCCTAGCTGCTTACGCATTAAACCCCTTCGCTCTGTTCCTAGTCCTTTTTCATCACAGCTGTGTCGAGTTGATTGCAAGTAAAGCGGTTGCACCGAGATTCTGATGAGTCTCTTTTTTCTTTCTTGCCTTATCTGAGGCTAGTTGATCGGGTGGCACGGAGGTTAGACTGTTTTCAATTTGATAGAACGGATCTGAAAGACAGCCCCACTGTCCGCTTACGCGATTGCCGACTATGACAAATGCGTACCCTGCATCCATTGTGGCTTTGCTTCCCTTCTTCCTCCAGAACATGCTGATCTCGGATATTCCGGCACCTGTTAATACTTGGGTTGAGAATGACTCGGTCGGCAAACTTGCTGTAAGGGGTTATTTAAGATTGGTGCAACTCCTTTGGTACTTATCTTCTGTGATGAGTTAGATGCGCCTTTGTCAAATAGACTTTCGAATCATACATCTTCATTCTTTTAATCCACCCCTCTTGGCAGATATTAACAAATCGAATACAAAAACTAAACCAAACATGGGGCTGAACACGGATATCGACTTTGTTGCCGCCGCGGCTCCAGTGATAAGCGCCATGGTGGGGGCCCAAAAGCCAGCATTACACGACATCGAGAGTCGTAGGAAATGGTTTTCTGGTTTACCAATTGGACCGACTGCTAAAGGTTTGGTGTTGGAAAAGCATACCATTCCAGCGTCAGATGGTTATGAGCTCTTGATATACCACTACAAGAAAGAGGTCACTATTGATCAAGCATCTCCTGCGCCGGTAATCTTTCACATCCATGGAGGTGGCCTCATCTCATCGAGTGCTGCTAATTCCATTCCCATGATCTCTGAATGTGTCCTCGCCACTGGGGTACAGGTGTTCTCTGTTGATTACCGGCTTGCGCCAGAACACCCATATCCGACACCTCTCGAGGATTGCTGGTCCGGCTTGAGATGGGTTTTGTCAAAGGCAGCCGACTTTGGCCTCGACACTGCCTCTATTGCCGTCATGGGTGAAAGTGCCGGTGGGAATCTTGCAGCCGCAGTAGCGCTGTTAGCGCGAGATCGAGGATTGTCTCCGCCGCTGGCAAAGCAAATCTTAATCTACCCTATGTTGGATGACCGAAATTCATCCAAGGGCATCGGACCTGTGTGTATTTGGAATGAAGTCGACAACGTCACGGGTTGGACAGCATATCTAGGGCACGAACCTGGGCGATCTGGAGTGCCAATGTTCGCAGCACCCGCTCGTGCGGAAAATGTTGAGGGTTTACCTCCCCTTTACCTGGATGTCGGACAGCTTGATCTGTATATGCTCGAGGACCTGGAATATGCTACAAGGTTTGTGAATGCTGGTATCGAGACGGAACTGCATGTCTACCCAGGTTTACCACACGGATTTGACTTCCTTGCACCTGGCCATCCCATCACCAAAATGGCGAAGGAGAATAGATATAGGACTATTCGAAAGCTCTACCGCGATTCTCAAGTCCAGAGCGAGGCTATCGAATCCTGATTTGGAAACACTTAGCCCAGTATATACTCGTAACATGAATCAACCTCGACGTTCTAGAAAGATGTATTATCAATACTTTTATCAATACTTGTGCATCGTTTGTATAAAACACATATTTTTCTTACTTGGAGTTACTTTTGATTCCCTTCTGTACTTTCACTCCATTCAATTTAGGTCGACGCAGACTCAAGAAGCTTACAAAATCTTTCTATTCTAAGCGATGGTCGTCAAAGCAATTTATTTCGGTTCAACAAGAACTTTTAGCAAAGTGTCTTTCGATGTTATCAGCGCTTCCAGCCCTTGATCAACGAACTGGTCCAGGTGAATACGCCTACTGACCATCCTCTCCACACCCTTAAACTTGCCTATATCTTGTGAGCTAGTGTTTTCGCCAAATCAGAAAACGAAGTTGTATACCTTCGTTGAAATCCTTGACAACCTCTTGAAAATCAACATCGTTATAAGCGACCGAGGCAACGACTGTTATTTCTCGAGCATACCACTCTGTTGGTGGTAATGTAATCTGGTGTTACACCACATTAGTCATAGAGATATATTCCAGAATACATTTCAACATACTGGCTTTGTTGGAACTGCCACAAGGACGTATTTCCCTTTTTTGCGCAAAGATGACATTGCTGGTGCCATAGCAGGGATGAAACCTGCACAGTCAAATACAACATCAACGCCATTACCATTGGTGAGCTGCTCAATCGTATCTACAAGATTTGATTCTTGAGGGTTTATTCCAGTGACGCCAATATCTCGTGCATACTCCAGTCTCAACGAAGATGGCTCTGATACAAACACAGGTCCCGTTCCGACTGCTTTGAGATTGTGGATGACTGCAAGTCCTATTGGTCCAGCGCCAAGGATAAGTGAAGTCTTGTCTCGAAATTCAGAAAACCCGGATTGTCGGAGGGCGTGTCTTGCAACTGCTAGAGGCTCGATCAGACATGCCGTGTCCAGGCTTGAGTCAGCAATGGGGTAGCATCGCGTAGGGTCGACAGCGACGAATTCCGAGAAACCACCCCCACCGCCTCCGCTTAAGCCAACAAAGCCCAGCTTGTAGCAAAGATTCGTGTCTCCTTGTTTACACATGGAACACTCTGAGCAATAGAGGCGGGGATCAACCATGACAGCTTGTCCAACTTCCAAGGGGCAGTTTTCAGGTACCTCAACTACACGACCACAGAGCTCATGACCCAAAGTCACAGGGAGAGTATCCCCAGTTATAGGGTCCTGTTTCCCTGGAGCCGGTGTAGCCAATGGACCTAATCTGTTAAAACCGTGCAATGTAGCGGGACACTGTCTTACAAGTGTGATAATTCGTCAAATCAGTCCCACATATACCGCACCAAGCAACCCGTAAGAGTAAATGATCCGATGGGCGCTTTGGAATACTAATCTCCTCAATACGCACATCTTTGATGCCGTAGTATCTAGCAGCCTTCATTTTCTTATTCCTTCTTCTCTCTCTATTCGACTGTGCGGCGAGTTGAAGCACATACGCAGAATAGACCTTGGAAATTTCGTAGATAAACAAGCAGGTTGGTTGATAGATCTTCTCCACTTACAGGGAATGTTCAAGGAATGCGGAATATGCTATCCAATTATATATGTTTAACCACGTACCACCTTGGGCTGTATCCCTGCATTATGCCCTAACCGAAGTTCCATGTTTAGAAGAGACAATATCAAGAGCAGGGTTGTTTTAGTTGCACTGATCCGCATCAATAGCTGCCGCGAGGGATGATTGTCGTCGTCATTGTCGGAAGTTGTCCAGATCCGTATTCCGTGCGGCTAGCTATTGCAGTAAATTGTGGGGCGCTGCTTACTACAATCCTCCCGCGGAACTGAAATATCCGTGCCAAGGCGTAGCTTAGTAACAAGCTACGTCAGCTGCGCTGACACTCGCCGCAGGCGAGTGCCGACGCTCTAAACGATATTACCTTCCATACGATATTTTTTCACAACGCTGTTGCTTCAATCAACTCTTCTAGCCCACACAATGGCCTAATCACAAATCTTTCTTAATAATCGCATTGCAGAGATCTTAGAGTCTATTAAAGATATCCTAAAGCCTAATTTTAAGTAGCTTACGCGTGAATACGGTGTTCCATACTAGCGATTACTTGTCACGGTACGGGCTCACGGGCAGAGAGGACAGGCGCGTGTACAGGTTCTATTGCTACAGCTAATCAACAGGCTCTCACTACAGGTAGTATAGAGTAGAAGACAGGACGTAGCTCGAAGAGCTACACTAGTGAAGTTGCGGCGGTTTTGCAGAATCCGGGTGCTCGGACCCTCACCCGGATTCTGTCGGCAGCCAATCAGACGATC